CCACCTTGGACACACCATAGGCAAACTTTCCAGAGCAAATCTGCATCCCCCGGGCGGCTGACCAGTTGGCCAGCCAGGGGACAAGGTTCTGACTCCCCACAGACATGAATCGGTTTTTTGTTTGTTTTCCCTGGGAGCCCTGTGAGCTCTGGCAACTTCCTTAACCCTCTTGGGACCACAACTGTGCAATGGGCTCCTGCTCCCAGATGGAACAGCATGGGAGCCCAGGGAGGGAAAGGAGTTCCAGAGGTCACAAAAGGACTCAACCTTTTTTATTCTTGGGCATTCTCTCATCTGTCCTCCCTTCCCTGCAGTGGGGTCATCTGGTCCTTCCCACCAACCACACTGAGGAAGCCGCAGGAGAGAGGGAGGGAGGGAGGGAGGGTAGGACAGAGAAGGTCGGTCCTCCTGTGTGCACCTTCACCAGGGGCAGGGTTTGAGGTTTTCAAAACCTGAGGGTGCCCGCGTCCATACTTACTCCAGATGCTGAAGGGAGGAAAAGGCCTCGAGGATCCTCACCAGTTTGGGAAAAGCCTGGGGGCCTAAGACAGAGCCCAGCCTAGGAGGCAAAGAGCAGAGGTAAGACCCTGAAACTGTCACGGCTCCTCAATGTGGCACCAGGGTGGGGTGGACATGTCACAGAAGACACGTCCAGTCTGAGGCCCCCTCCCCTCCCTGCCCCCCAGTGCCCTCCCTCCCTTGATCCCCACTAGGTGGCACCCCAATCCCTTCTGTTCTGGCCAGACTTCACCAAAGCCCCCCAAGAGGCAGCTTGGGCTCCTGGCCTGGGAAAGTGTTTCCCAAATTCCAGCCTGAGGACCACCACCAGTCTTGAGAAAAATGACTTTACTTATCTGCCATTACATTTTTATTTTTAAATTATTTTTTAATTTAAAAAATTTATTTGTTACTTAAAAAATAAAAATAAAATAAAATAAATAAAAATAAAAACAAGAAAATCTCTACACCCAACGTGGGGCTCGAACTCACAACCCTGAGATCAACAGTTTCATGCTCTACTGACTGAGCCAGCCGGGTGCCCCTGTGTCATTACATTTTAATAACAAATAAAACCATTTACTGAGAACTTATTATGTGCCAGGCACACGTGGGGTCCTTCACTCAGATGTCATTTCACCCTCACAACTCTGAGCTAAGGGCACTTCGTATCCCCGTTTTACAGATGGGGAAACTGAGGCACAGAGGGATTAACTAATTCACACAAGGTCTCACAGGCTGGATCAGCATTTACACCCGACTTCCAGGGGAAGAAAAATAAAGACAGTGCAGGGCTCTTTTGTTCTGCTTTTAAAATATGGTTAAACAGGACTCAACATAAAGAACTGTCTTTTATTCTGAAATTGTGTCCTTTGGAGTGTTTTTGGCACGAAAATGTTCATTCTTTGATAAAATTGGTGCCAGCAGGGGCTATTTTGCTTGTTGGAATGAACACACTTGATAAACATGAAAACATGGTAATTGCATATAGTCCTTCAAATTTACTCCAAAATATTCTCCGTCTTTGCAATCTCAAAGTCTGGGAACTTCGAGCCTCGATAAAAGGTCATGAGATGGGAGTCCGACGGCTGACTTAAACCTGGGCCCTACCACGTCGCTCCCGTGGGGCCACGTGGGCAAACCCCTTCAGCTCCGTCTTGGTCTCCTCAGATTTGGCCCCTGTCTCATGAGCCTGTTGGAAGGATTACGGAGTTCGTGCATCCAGTATTGACTGCTCGCCCATGCGAGCCTGTCGCGGACAGGGCCGTGAACAGAACAGACAGAAATCCTGGCCCTCGTTCGTGGAGCTAACAGTCCCGTGGGCAAGACAGATAATGAAAGAAATCGGTAAATTATCTGGTGTGGGAGATAATCAGTAATACAGAGAAAAGCACGGTGGCAGGTGAGGTAGAACTGTACTTTCAAACATGGGAGTGTTTGGCTCCGTGGAAACCAGAAGGAAGGGAGAAAGTAGTGGCGTGGGCCGTGCGGATATCTGGGGAAGAGCATCATGGGCAGAAGGCGCAGGCAGTGCAAAGGCCCTGGGGCCAGACCCTGCCTATGAGGTTGGAGTCCAGCAAGGAGACCCCTGGGGCTGGAGTGGAGGGAGCAGGGAAGGCAGTACGGGAGATGGAGGAGGCCTCTTCAAGGGCTGAATCAGGACCCTGTCCCCTCGCAGAGCACCTCACGGGTTCTGAGCAACCAACAAGACTCATCTCCAGGCCATTGGGGCTTGCGTGGTACCGGGCGCAGTGGCTGGCAGTCACACACCCAAAATAGTCCTTTCCTTCCTTCTTCAGATCTTTCTTGGGGCTTCTAGCCTGCAGGTGGCTAGTCTCCTGGTTCTGGGCCATTCCACCTCAATGCTATTGTTCCCCAGAGCACACTTCCGACCTCCATCTAGGGGCTTTTTAAGCTAAAAATAAGTCAAAGCCAGAAGGCGCCCTTGGTGATTGTTTTCACACATTTCCTCTTTCCAGCAACATTTTTATTTGTGCACAAATGTGGCACCTTGTCTCTGTTCCAAACCAGAAATGCTTGCCTTTTTCTGGGGTGCGGGGGAGCAGAGATCAGGAGGGGCAGGTAAATGGAGGGTGACCAGCTGGGGACCTTGGGCAAGTCACTTAACCTGGCTAGGCCTCGATGTTCTCATCTGTAAGATGGGAAGGTAGTGACTACCTCCCAGATCATATATAAATTGCACTGTGTACACTGCAGGTGTTTAATAATTTTTTCCTAATCATTAGGCAATTTTCGATCCCTAACAAAGATAGCACGCGAATTTAGCTTCTTCCTTTACTGGAACAAGAACCAGGCAAGCTTCAGCCCTTCGTTCACCTACTCCAGAGAGTCCCCATGGCCTCCCCGCCGCCCCACGGGCCACTGATCACAGCAGGGGGTAATTGTCTGTTTACACTAGACTTCAGGCTCATTGAGGACAGTGGCCTCAGTCAGTGGATTGTGTCTGTCCAATGAATGAATGGGAAGGAGCATGTTCACCAGTAAATGGGCCACTTAGCATCACACCCGAGAAGCTCCAGCCCCAGCCCTGACCGGCCGGGCCCCACATGCTGGAAGCTGGTTTCCAAAGGGGCGAAGCAATAGGATAAGAATAATCTGGGGCAGGGGGCGGGCACCTGGGTGGCTCAGTTTGTTAAGCGACTGACTCCTGATTTCAGCTCAGGTCATGATCTCAGGGTCCTGGAATTGAGCCTCGTGTCGGGCTCCAAGCTCAGCACGGAGTCTGCTTGTCCCTCTCCCTCTGCTCCTCCTCCCACACTCTCTCTCTCTCAAATAAATAAATAAAATCTTTTAAAAAAATGATTTTGGGGACCCCTCTCTGTTCCCAGTGGCTCAGGCCCAGCTAATAATGCCGGGTAAGAAACCTCACGGGGACCCGAGACAATTCACTCCTCTGCTTACGCAAACTCCAGCTTCTTTAGATCCCGGACAGCAGGGAGCTCTCCAGCTGTGTCTTCTGAGGAATTCCTTGTCCTAGAGAGAAGGGGCAATGTTAGTGGGGAGCAGGCTCTTCGCCTGTCCCTGAGCCCCTACATGAGTGATTCAGGATGCCTGCCTCAAATTCCCGGGGAGGCCTGCCTTCCTTGGAGGCTATTATGGTCTCCCGTTAAAAAGAAATAGAACAGGATGTTACAAAGGCATTCTTACGGGTTTCATGGAAAGCAGATGCTTACCAAACCCGGCCCAGGCAGCACACAGTAGGTGCTTAAACAGTGGATGAGGACAGAATAAGAAACAGCTGTTATATAGTCAAGTTTCTCTGCCCTCTGGACCTTAGTGCTCTGCCATCGATCACATGGGGACAGTACTCGTCCTGCCTACCCTGAAAGGTGGCCATCGGTGACATTTCTGTTACTAGATGCAGAAAGCACCTCCTCAACCCTCAGCAGGGAGTCTCTGTCTGGCTCTAGCTGAGGACAAATTGGGTTCATGATGGCAGGTTTTGAAGGGCACGAGGTGATGGGTCCTGGAGGCTCTGCCCTGCCTGCTGTAGGAGATTCTGGGCAGCCTGGGGGAGGGCACGGGATCTCCCCAAGGAGAGGAGAAGCACCAATGGTGAACTTTAATGCTGGGTCCTGCCTGTCCTCAACCTGCATGGTCTGAGCCACCTCTCATGCCCTCTCCTCCTCACCTCTGGATCTGCACGAGGTTGCCGAGGTCTTCCACATCCTTCGGGGACTTGGCCTTGAAAGGCTCGATGGTGAACTTCTCCTCCACTGCCCGGAGCAGCTTGGTCTCCCCACGCTGCTGTAGAGACTCCCACAGCCCCACCATGTCACTCAGCGAAGCCCTGCGGAGGAAGGGCCTCAGACCCAGGCACAAGAGCCGGGCTAGACCATAATGGAGGGGCAGCTCCATGAAGGAACCTCCTATCTAGTCAGACGCTTTCTGTCCTCAGCTTCATCCCTACTTCCTCCAGGAAGCCTTCCATGACCACTCCAGTTCCTAATGATCGCTCCCTTTTCTCAGCCCCCCCAGTGGTTTTGTTTCCCTTTTTGCTTTGGCTACCAGGAAGCTCAGCAGTAAATTCTTGGTTGAACCACTACAATGGTATAGGACTTTATAGCTTGGGTAAAGTATATTTGGGGGGAAGGTGGGAGAAATTTTCTGCAGATTAGGCTAAAGTGATCAAACAGATCACAGAAGGATTTAAATGAGCCAAGTTAAGGAATCAAAGGGGTAGAATATGATCAGATGCAAGTTCTAGGAAGACTGCTCTGACGGTTGACTATGAAGTAGAATGGAAAAGGGAGACAGGAGGTGGGGAGCTCGAGGGGAGACTGTGGCTTTAACCATGACAAAACAGTGGCTTGATTAGGGGATGGAGAGAAGAATACGAATTTGAGCCCAGATCAGTCTTAGATCCTAAATGTGGCCCAGTGCCTCGCACCTGTCAGGCCTTCAAATATTGGTTGAAGGGGCGCCTGGGTGGCTTGGTCGGTTAAGCGCTGGACTCTTGGTTTGGGCTCAGGTCATGATCTCAGGGTCATGAGATCGAGCCCCATGTCTGGCTCTGCTCAGCGTGGAGTCTGCTTGAGATTCTTTCCCTCTTCCTCCCCCTCTACCCCTCCTCCCCCACCTCTCTAAAATAGAAAAAAAAATTTAATTTAATTAAAAAAACCCCACAAATATTGGTTGAAGACGCTGCCCTTCACTGGCTGTGTGACCTTGGGCAAGCTGCTATCCCTCTCTGAGCCTGGACGTCCTCATCTTAAAAAGGAAGGAATCACTTCCGCCCCCCCCCCCGGCTGCCATGCATACTAAACGAGACCCCACCGCGGTGCTTAGCACCGGGCACAGCGCCAAGACCACGGCGGAAGCCCTCTGCCCTGTCCCCTGCCCCCACCTGAAATGGGTGACGCAGCTGAGTCCCACGAGGCTCCCCAGCCCAGCGGGGTCAATGCCAGTGCTGCGGAGGTCCAGGGAGAAGTCTTGGCCGGCCGCCGCCAAGGCACTGCACAGCACGTAGGTGTTGGGGGGTGTGAGCCGGGTGCCCAGGAAGGAGAGGCGGGCTGGAAGCCCCTGCACCACGTGCTGCCAGATCGCGGCGTCCGCGGCCTCATGCGCACAGTGCAGCAGTTCCAGCAGCCGCCCGGCCCGGAGCGTCCCTGGCTGCAGGCCCTTCAGGTACCTACTGAGCACCTTCTGCTTCCTGGCCCCCACGGTGGCCGCAGCTGGCCCTGCCAGGGCTCCGAGGCAGTCGGCGTGAGGCTGGAAAAGCAGGCCAGCCAGGAAGCGCGGCACACCCTCCAGCCAGTTGTCATAGGGCCTCTTCTTCCTCGGGGTCAACGCCAAGTACTGCGGCAGCTCCTTGTCCTTGATTTCAGTGCTCAGGGCCAGCCACACGGCCCCCAGGAAGCACTGCAGGAGGAAGCTGGAGAAGGCCAGCTCCACGTCCGGGGCGCCCGGGACGGGCTGCACCAGGCCTTTGGCCACGGCCCAGGCCCTCACGGCGGCCGATGGGAACTGGCTGTCCTGCAGGGTGCCCCGGTGTCTGCGGCCCAGCTCCCAGGCCAGCCTGGCCAGTCCTGCCAGGGCCTCCGGGGGGCTGTCGCGGGTTGCGGGGCCCAGCAGGCCCACGTAGAGTCCCGTGAGCGTGGAGGGCAGCTCAGCCTTGTCACCCAGCTGTAGGAGGGCCTCGGAGAGCCGGCACACTGCCCGGCACACGGTGGGGCTGTGGCTGAGGCTGAGCAGGAACGGCTGGCCCCGGAGGAGGGCCAGGGCTCGCTCCCGGCACGCAGTCGCCCCAGCGCGCTCCAAGTAGCGCGTCACGTAGGTCTTGGCCTGCTCGGCTGAGAAGCCGGCCACCTCGAACAGGACGTCGGCCTTGCTCAGGCTCTGGGCCAGGCGGCCCCAGGGCCGGGCCGTGAGCAGCAGGGTGCAGCCTCGAAGCAGCTTCCGCTGGAAGAGTCCGGCCAGCAGCCCGCGGAGGGAGTGGGGCTCTGTGGACACGGGTCCGCACGCGCTGTGCAGGAGGCCGTCTTGGGCTTCAAGCCCCTCGAAGGCGTCCAGGATGAGCAGAACCCGGTCGGGCCGCCTCAAGATGTGTCTGAAGACCTCCTCGTCCACAGGCTGTGGCTGGGGGCCCAGGCAGAAGAGCAGATCCTGCAGGCGGTAAGTGTCCCCTTTGGCGCGGTCCAAACAGTGGCAGGGGAAGTAGAAGACGAAGTCATACTGGGGCAACTGGCCGCAGGCCCAGGCCCGGCTCACTTCCCGGGCCCAACGGCTCTTCCCCTGTCCTGCTTTGCCCAGCACGGCAATCACCTGCGTCTCCCGCGGCCGCCGGCAGTCCCCGGCAGCCCCCAGCACCTCGGCCAGACCCCCGCGGGCCAACTGCCTCTCTGCCCAGTCCGGGGTGGCCAGCTCCCTCTCCTGGTTTTTGCCACTGCTCCTCTCCAGCCGTGCTTTCACCAGCTCCACCTCCACCAGGATGCCTTCCGGGCCGGCGAGCTCAGCCTGGTACTTGTCCCGTAGGGAGCTGCAGAACTGCTCCACACTCTCTGCAAAGGCCCAAGGGTGGGTGGGTGTGCGCACGCGCGCGTGTGCTGGGCGGGGAGGGTGCTAGGGCCACCACGAGGCCAGCCCGACCACCAGCTGTGCCAGTCAGTCCCCACCCACTGCCTTCTTTATTACTGCCTCTCTCAGTTACGCAGACATTCATTCATTCACTCATTCACTCTCACACCTGTCATTCACCTGTCTTCTCCCTTGTTTATCTATCCGCCCCTTCATCTACTCACTAACCCCCTTCTGCTTTTGCTCCCTCACTATAGGAAGGCCATGGGGTGGGGGGCAGTGTTAAGGTTTAAGAGAGTGGAATCCGTGTATCTGGTTAAAATCCCAGCTCCACCGCTAATTACTGTGATCTTGAGCATGTTATAGACTCTGCTACATCTCCGGGGATGCCCCAGGAGTCCCTCATCTGCAAAAGGGGGATAACATTAGGGCTGTTTGCGACATGCATGATTTAATATATCTGCTTAGAAAAGCACGCGGAACGGAGTAAGACTTAGGAGCTCGGTCGTCCTTTCATCATCTCACCTCCCATCGCCCCTGTGCCCAGAGTCAGCCCCCTCCTTCATCCATCTCTCCCCTCATTCATTCCCTTGGGCTGGAAAACAAGGTGCCAACCCCTGGTGTGGGCTTATGAGGGCAGGACCTCAGCACATGTGACTTGCTCATAGAATCAAGTGAGCAAGTGAACGGATACATGAGCAAGACCACCAACAGAGAAGGGCTGAGTACGTGTTGAGTGAGTGAGTGAAATAGAAGCAGACCCGGGCTTCCACCTCCTGCCCCAGGGCACAGAGAGTCCGCCACCACTTACCAGGCCATTTCAGAGGCTTGCTGGAGACCTCGTGAACTGCCCGGCTTTGGGTAGGGGACATCTGGTCCTCTGGAGATGAAGAAGTTCAGGTGAGGGGCCTGCCTGGGGACCTTCCTGCCTCAGGGACATTCAGTCCTCTGAGGCTCCCAAAGGCAGAACCAACGGGGGCGGGGGGGGTGGCTGGGTCTTCCCCGAGACAACAGTCATAAGGTGGTGACCTGAGGCTGTATCCTACTCAAAGAGGCTTTTAACTGGACCAGCTGTGCTTTATTATTATTTTTTTAAGATTTATTTATTTATTTGACAGAGAGACACAGTGAGAGAGGGAACACAAGCAGGGGGAGTGGGAGAGGGAGAAGCAGGCTTCCCGCTGAGCAGGGAG